AAACTTTTAATTTTGGAACAGATTTTACTCAAATTTAAAAGAAAATTTGGGAAAATATACAGATATTTCCCATATATCTGAGACCCAGGCTCCCCTCTTATCATCTTGCACCACTCTGCCAGATTTGACGCAGCTTATGAATACGTCATTAACTAATTCCATGCTTTATTCAGATTGCCGTGGGTTTATCTTCACTGTTCAGACTCCCATCCAGTATACCACATCACATTTACTCATCCTGTCTCCTTAGGCTCCTCTTGTCTATGACCTTTTCTCAGACTTTTCTTGTTTTTGATGATTATGACAGTCTTCAGAATTACCATAAAGGTTTATCTGATTTTTTCCCATGATTAGAATGAATGTGGTCTTTTGGTTTTGAGAAGAAGATAACAGATAAATGGCCATTTTCATAACTTTATATCAAGGCTACATGCTCTCAAGATGACTTTGTAGTGTTTGTAACATTTCCCCACTGACTTGGCTTGTTTCCCCCTCTCTCCATTGCTCGTCCTCTTTGGAAGACCCTCACTGTGTACAGGCCACATTTAAGGAGTGCAAAGTTATGTTCCACCTCCTTGAGGACGGGTATCTAAATCAATTATTTGGGGTGTCTTCTATATGAATAATATCTATTCTTTCCCATTCATGCATTCATATCAATTCGTAGGTTTATTTTATACTTTGAATTAGAATTCAATTCTACTTTATTTTGTCATCCAAAGTGTTCCAACTGTGGCATTAGGAGATCTTTTATTTGGCTTGTGTTTTCCTTTGGTTTAATCCCAACTTTATGTTTTGTTTTGTTTTGTAACTTCCTTTTTGGAAACTCAAGATTCTCCAGGGTTGTCAAATATTTCCTGCCCAGTCCTAGTATCAGCCATTTCTCCAAGGAGCCCTGGTTCATCTTATTGGAGAATAGTACTAAAAATCCAGGTTCTAGAACTACACGTGCTCTTGCTACAAGGGTGTCATTGCTTCTTGACCATCAGCTGACGGTGCAAGGAAGTGTGTGTGTGTATGTATGTGTATATGTGTGTGTAAATGTGTATGCGCGTGTGTATGTGTGTGTTTGCGTGTGTTTATGTGTGTGTGTATGTGTGTGTGTCTGTATCTTTGCGTGTGTGTATGTGTATCTGTATACGTGTGTATGTGTGTATAGGTGTATGTGTGTGTGTATGTGTATATATGTGTATCTGTGTGTACGTGTATGTGTGTATGTTAGTGTATATGTGCGTGTGTCCGTGTGTGTCCGTGTGCACGTGTGTGTGCATGTGTGTATGTGTGTATAGGTGTATCTGTGTGTAGATGTATCTGTGTATCTTAGTGTATGCATGTGTATCTGTGTATGTGTGTATATGTGTGAATGTGTATGCGTGTGTATGTGTGTGTGTGCATGTATGTGTATTTGTGTATGTGTGTGTATGTGTATGTATATGTATGTGTGTATGCATGTGTGTGTGTGCGTTTTGTGTATGTGTATATGTGTTTATATGTATCTCTGTGTGTGCATGTGTGTGCGCGCGTGTATGTGTGTGTGTATGGGTATGTGTATATGTGTGTGTATGTGTGTATGTGTGTGTATGTGTCTGTATCTGTATCTATGTATGTGTATGTGTGTATGTGTCTGTATCTGTGTGTATGTGTGTATGTTAGTGTGTGTGCGTGCGTGCGCATGTGTGTACGTGTGTACATGTGTGTACGTGTATCTGTGTATGCGTGTGTACATGTATGTATGTGTGTATGTTAGCGTGTTTGCGTGTGTGTGTGTGTGTGTAGTTTAGTGTATGTGTGTATATGTGTGTGCATGTGTGTATGTGTGTATATGTGTATGCTAGTGTATGTATATGCATGTGTATATGTATGTGTGTATGTGGGTGTATATGTGTGTGCGCGTGTATGTGTATTTATGTATGTGTGTATGTGTATGTGTGTATGTGTATGTGTGTATGTGTATGTGTGTATGTGTGTATGTGTATGTGTGTTTGTGTGTATGTGTATCTGTGTGTGCACGTGTATGTGTGTGTATGTGCGTGTGTGCGTGCGTTTGTGTGTATGTGTGTGTATATGTGTATGTGTGTGTGCGTTTGTGTGCGTGCGCGCCAACCTATGTATATACACCTAACAATAAACACTGCTTATGAAAACATCTGGATCTATACTAAGCTAAACACCAGTTCATAGTGATGTATCCAACATGGATTATTCTAACCTTCTTTCCTTGCTTATCTCTCACATCCCACTCTAACAGTGAGATACCTGGCTCCTGCTATCTGCCATCCCTAAAAAGGGGAATTAATTGTTCAATTCCAGTTCACATGTATACTGGTTTCAGAACTGCTAACCAGTACCTCCCTGGGGAAGAACCTTATCAAACAGAATACACTGTTAATGTAACAATTCCTTTTGGTTTTGGTCTTCCAGATTCCAGTTATTCCAAGTTACTTAGGTCAGCCCCTTCTTTCCTTCACCTATAGTTTCATACTTTTTAATGAAATTATTCTACAACATTATTTCATCTTGGGATTCATCTACCTCCCAAGTGATTATTTTCAAATTTAATTAAGATTTACTATTTTTGCTGTAAAACTGTATGGCATTTGACAAATGCATAGTGGCTGGTATCCACCATTAAGGTATCATACAGAATGTTCCACTTATTCAATGTCCTCCTTTCACAGACCCTTGGTAACTACTGATCTATTTAGCATTTCTATAGTTTTGCATCTTCTAGATCATACATAAAGAGATGATACATTATGTATCATTTTCAGACTGGCTTCTTCTACTTAGAAATATGCATGTACATTCATCCATGTCTTCATGTGGCTTCATGGTTCAGTGTTTTCCATTGTTGGATAGTATTCCATTTCACGGTTATAAATTGTGGTTTTGGTTATACATTCACCTACTGAAGAACATCTTGGTTTCTTCCAGTTTGGGGCCATCATGATAAAGCTTCTATAAATATTTGCGTGCTGCTTTTGGTGTGGGAGTAAGTTTTTGGTCCAGATGGGTAAACATCTAGAAGTACAATGATTACGGGCACAATCAGACTATGTTTGCATCGTAAGAAACCGCCAGACTGTCTTCTAAAGTGTCTGTGCCACATTCATTCCCATTACAGGTCCCTGTGGTTCTCTATGTAGTCTGCAAAATGTTTCGTCAATTTTTCTAAATGTTAGCCCCATCCTAATGTGCAGTAGTAAGTGGTATCTCATTTAATGTGCTTTTCCCTAATAGCAAGTGATGCTGAGGATCTTTCTGTATGTTAATGTGCTATGTATCTTCTGTGTCTCTCTTCAGATCTCTACTCATTTTTACATATTTTAAACTTTCTTCTTGTTAGGTGTTACGAGTCCTTACCATATTTTCCACACAAATCCTTTTTCTGACATCTCTTCTGCAAAGAGCCCCCTAGCCGCAGAAGTCTTTTTATTCTCTTGGCAGGATCTTCTGCAGAGTCACATTTTAATTGTGATGGAATTCACCGTAACAATTTTTCTCTTTCATGGATCATGCTCTTGGTGGTGTATACAAAACTTACCTCTACACCCAAATTCAAGAAGAGAGTTTACTTTTTTTTCCTAGAATTTTTTAAGTTTTGCATTTTATTTTTAAGTTTATGGAAGTTTTGGCGTGTGGTGAAATTTGTGTGTGTTCATTTTTCCACACGGTCAAAGTCACTGCGCTTCCTACTGAACAGACGATCCTCCACCGCACTGCCTTTGCTCGGGTGGCAAAGTTCAGCAGACTATTTGAATGGGTCTATTTGTCAGGCCCTTAATTCTGTTCCATTTATCGCTGTGTCTATTCTATTGCCAATGTCCTGCTCTAATCATGATATAGCTTTAGGTTAATTTCTGGAATTAGGAAGGGGGTGGGTGATCTTCAACCTGTTCTTCCTAATTTTGTAGGTTATTCTAACTTTAGAAACAGTGTTAAAAATCTACAAAATACCTTGCTGGGATTTTGATTCAGATGGCATTGAATCTACTGATAAATTTGGTTAGACATGTCATCTTAACAATGGTATAATATACTTAACGAGTTGCCTATCATGAACGAGGAATAACTCTCCAATTAGTAAGACTCTCTTTGATAACCTTCCACAATATTTCAGTTTTCCGCATGCAAATTTGTACCTATTTTGTTATATTTAACATCTAAGGTTTTCACCTTTTTTGCCTGTAGTCAGAATAAATAATTATCAGATTTAAAATTACTTGGCAAAATAAAAGAAGTTGCATCCGCCTGAAGAAAATTTTCTCCACTATTCACAAGAACCCAAAGAGACTGCAAAACAACTGTGAAACCTCATCATTCCTGAGTATGCTGTCACCACACTCAACTCAGTTCATTCTGTCTCCAAACGGCAGCAGACTTGTTTACAGACCCCCTTTTTACGAAGCTGAGAACCTCCTGTACTTTAGAATCCAAAGACAGACCTTGTTTAACGGGGATGCCAATCAAGATAAATCTCAGCAAGCCGTTTCCCTCTAATTAAGCAAATCATTTACAGTCTTTCTCTCCAATGGATTGAAGCTATCAACATTCTCTTAGGTTATTTACACTTAATTTTATGAGTTTTAATGCACCTACTGTGCAACTTCGCAGCATGCTTCCCCTCGGCTTTCACGTGGTAGGACACGCGAGCGGTTCAGACGTTCGGAACCACGCGCGCACCTGGCACCGTCTCCCTCGCGCCCGGTCCCCCGCCCTTCCCCACCGTGCCCGTGTCCTTCCCTCTGCTCGTATCAGAGTTCCCCAGAAACAAACCCGAAGCCATAGAAATGACCACAGCATGCTACGATTTCGCCCCCGAAGCCCCTCAATGAACGGGCGCTCCTGTGAAGTAAGTCCTGGTGGAACGCTACCCGGGAAAGAGTAAGGCCCGCGGCGCAGGGCGGAAGACGAGTTTCTTTCCCACTATTTACGAAAACCACCCCGCAGCAGCGGGGGGAAGTCCCCTCCCAGCAGGCCAGGCCACACAGGGGTGTCACTCACCGCACACGCCGGCCCTCGTCGTCCGCAGCGGCACCTCCTGGGTCTGTCCGGAGAGAACGAGGCTCGAGCTCTCGTGCAGACGCGGCATCGAGGGCAACGGGCGCGACGCGCATGCGTTCCACGCGGGCCTGCGCGGCGCGACGGAGAAGGCGGGTCCGCGCGCCCCCTGCCGGCCGCTACGGTGCAGCGCAGGAAGCTTTGGGCTCATCTAACGGACAGCGGCATCCCTCCTCTAAGTCCTCCTGGATCACCGAAATTCAGTATCCAGGTTAATCAGTGCCACAATTTTGGAAATTCTAGGGGTAGGGCTTACTTAAAATTTTTTTTTTGGAAATTCTAACTGAAATAGAGCCGAGCCTTCCATATATTGATGCAAAAGCATGGAGATTATATGAAGCAAAGTATATGGTAACTATACAAAATCAACTGTTTATATATATAAAAGCAGTGAATGATTGGAATTTAAAATCTTAAAAATTTCATTTACAATAGCACCAAAGAAGTGGAATCCTTAGATATTCAATCTAACAAAACAGGTAGAAATCTGCATGCAGAAAAATATGAAACCCTGGAAAGATATCAAACAGAATCTTAATAAATGTAGAGACAGTCCATGTTCATAATAGGCAAATTCAAGTTTATATTGATATGTGCATGGAGGTTGGGGTGCAAATGAACGATGATTTACATGTTCCGTGTAGAGATAAAAACAATGCTTGGTTGGGTTTGTGAGGTTCTGAGAGATTGTGTCCAGTACTACTCCCTGGGTATCTAGTGGAGCCATAATCTAAGATTGGAGACTAGAGGAAAAGGAAATTTTATTTGAGGGAGAAGTCAGTGGCTTCAGTATGGGATATATTTCATTTTAGGTGCCTGTAACACATGCAAGTAGAAATTACACCTCACAAAGGAAATCTTGAGCTTTTGGACATTGCTATCAGAGAGGTAACAATAGAAGAAATCAAAGAAATGCATGAGATTGCTAAAATAATGTATAGTGAAAAGGGAGAACAAAGGCTAGCCTCTCGATTATTGGAGGAGGACCTGGTGAAAGACACTGGGAAGGAGTGACCATGGTAGTATGAGGAGAGTCAGGAGCCTGAGGTGTCAGAGAAGCCTAGGAAAATCAACTAATCCATAAAGAGGTCATGCTCCAATTTTCTTTGATGCCAAGTAAGACGAGACCTAGAAATGATAGGTTTAATTATGGGTAACCGTGATCTTATTAAGATTTATTAATAGGGAGATCATCATTAATACAGAGAACTCTCTTATTAAGGAGAAAACCACTGGTGATCCTAATTAGGATGAGGGTGATGTCAGGAAACTGTTCTTTCCGTTTTGTTATGAAGGCAGAGAAGGAGATGAGGCTGGAACGGCAGAAAAGATGGGCAGAAGCGATTGCCTTTCAAGGTGAAAGATCCTTAATGCATTTAAATGAGAAGATGATGGCGCGGTGGCAGGGAGATTAATAATGGAGATTTAATTTATTATCAGTAACATAAAGCCTGAAAGAGTTAACGAGGAAAGGAAACACTTTGTAAAAAACTGGACTTAGCTAAGGTAAATATGACGATTCTGTTTTAATGAAAGGCGTAAACCATAAGATTAAATGGGGGCATATTTGTAGATTTTATGGCAGTTAGCAAGTGAATTTTTCAGATTACCCATTTCATCTGTGTGACAAAACATGAGGAGACCCCTGAGAACTATGATATTCAAAATGCCCAGAAGTTTGAAATATTCGCGGAGCATAGAAAAATGATTCTTCTTGTTGATACATTAGGAGTGCCAGGTAGATTTTAAAGCGAGTTAGAGATTTGTGACTCTAAAATCAGGCGAGGACTGATATCATAGTCCCGGACCGCGTCAGACGGAGCCGTGGGGTAGGCAGTAGAGGCTCGGGGATGTGGGAATCCATCAGTGAAAGTTCAGAGGCACACGATCACACCGGTCTTGGTAGTATAGGTCAAATGGGTAACTGTGGGGGCGCCTGGGTGGCCCGGTCGGTTGAGCATCTGCTTCAGCTCAGGTCATGATCTCAGCGTCCTGGGGTCGAGCCCCGAGTTGGGCTCCTTGCTCAGCGTGGAGTCTGCTTCTCCCTCTCCCTCTGCCCCTCGTCCCCGCTTGTGTTCTTTCTCTCTTGAATAAATAAAATCTTTTTAAAAAATGAGTAACTGTGGATTAAACTGGGCAATGAACGTGAGGAGAGGTAGGGCCTGATAGCCAGCAGGCGGAGTCCACGCCTTGGGAGTTCCCCGCTGGAGGTGAGAGAGTGGACGTGTGGAGGACCTGTGTTGAATGAGCTGAAGGGCGCTTGCCTTAGGGGCAGGTTCTCCAAAAACTGATCCGAGAAGTTGTAGCCCAGGTGGAACTTAGATCTGTTAGGTACCCCTGAAGACACACCTTTTATTGTTTTCTTTGCATAACACGTAATAAAACATTGTTTTGCAAATCTTCTACTGAAAATTAGAAGTCTTGTGTTTTGAATGAACCTTCCTTTTGAAAGAAAATGTCAACTGGTTTTAGAAACGTTTGTCTAATCATGTTCTGTATTTAATTTTCATTGGAAAAATAATCCCAGTGTGCTATGACCCCAGCCACCTGCCTCTCTCAGACACCTGTGCTTCCATCTCTGAATACGTAATATGTATTCCCAAAGACATGGTTGATAGACATTATTTTATTTTAATATTTCTTTTTTTAAAGACTTTATTCATTTATTTGAGAGACAGAATGAGAGATAGAGAGCACGAGAGGGAAGAGGGTCAGAGGGAGAAGCAGACTCCCTGCCGAGCAGGGAGCCCGATGCGGGACTCGATCCCGATGACCTGAGCCGAAGGCAGTCGCTTAACCAACTGAGCCACCCAGGCGCCCTGTTGATAGACATTATTATTGTTGTAGTAATGAAGTATGTAGTAATGTAGTAATGAAGTATGGAAAGAGATATGGGAATCATAATCATATTTTAGGGTTACAACGAACATTAAACAAAATACATATAAATTTAATTTTATCGATAAAGGACTGTAATTTACCATGAACATGTAAAACACATAAACAAGAATAAATACCCATGAGTATATGAGTATATAGATTCTCCATATCTAAAAGCAAATTTTGCATTAGAATATCCACCAAAACACATCAAGAAATTAATTAAATTCCACTTCAGAGATGGGGGACGAATGGGCTAAGGCCTCTCCGAGGGCGCCCTGCAGCTTTGGCTCCACCCCCCCGCGGGGTCTGCAGGGTGGCTCCCGCTGAGGGGCCCCCCCCAGAGCCGCCGGCGCTGCAGGGAGGGCTCTGGGGGAGTGGGCGCCAGGAGGCAGGACCCCTGGAAATCGGGGCGGGTGGCTTCTGCTGGGACCTGGAACCCACATTTGAGTGCTCAGGTTGGGTGGCACCTGGGGCTCTGCATTGCGGGGGGACGGGGGAAAGGGTAGGGGGGGCTCTCTGACTTTCTAACGTCTTCCCCGAGGAGCTCCTCCCCCCCCGGGGCCTCTGCCAAACTGAGGGAGGGGGCCCGAAGACAGTGGGCGCAGACTACAGGGGCGGGGGCCAGCGCCCCAGCGGAGGGGACAGGGACTCCAGACGGGGTGCACAGGGCGCCGCAGGCCTGCACCGCTAGGGCGCCTTTGCCCTCACCTCTACCTGGAAGGCACCTGAGCCACCTGGGGAACACCTGGTCAGCCCTGCCCCGCTCCACGGGGTCGAGCCCCGAGTTGGGCTCCTTGCTCAGCGGGGAGTCTGCTTCTCCCTCTCCCTCTGCCCCTCGTCCCCGCTTGTGTTCTTTCTCTCTTG